GACAGAGGAGAGGCACAAAGAGAGAAAACTAAAAAAACAAAAAACAAATAAGGCTGGTGTTCTTTTTAAATCATGATAATCTGCTTAGTCTTAACTTTAAAAAATTCATGGATGACTGACATATGCAGAAAAAAACTTGATACTGTTTTTGTTGATTTAATAGTTTTCCAACTCATCCAGTGCTGAAACTTGAGAACCAGGACAGATTTTATGTATAAAGTCAAAATCATCAGTTGACTAATGACATGATGAGAACATACAAACTCCACACAGGAAGTTCCCAGTGGATTTGAACCCAGAACCTTCTTGTCTGTTATGGCGGCAACCACAGAACTACAGATGAGCTGATCTTATTTTTGAACTGCTTTGTAATGGGCTGTTTCCTGATTGTTCTCTTGGATGCTTCCTGTCTGTATCTCTCAATGTAGGCCTTGTAAGAGATTCTGATTGGTCTGCATTGAGAGACCCAGGAGGAAGCGAAGGAACAAATCCAGGTGTCCATTTGGACTCTGTAAGGCCTTGTCCACAGCACTCTGGTAGAAACGTATTGCCAAAGACTCTTTGGCCTGTATAGAGGCTGTTTGCTCTTCTTCCAGCACGTTGACACCTGAGTTGGTGAATGTCAGATGGACATGAAGAGCCGCCAGAAACTCCTGAACACTCGGTTGGATGAAGCAGAACACCATCTCTTGGTACAGTCCTCTCTCTTCTTTAAGGATCTGTGTGAACACTCCTGAGTACACTGAGGCCTCTCTGACACTAATGTCACACTCTATCAGGTCTGATTCATAGAAGATCTGGTTTCCCTTCTGCAGCTGCTCAAACGCCAGTTTCCCCAGTTCTTTAATCATCTTCTTACTCTTTGCAGTCCAGTGTGGATCTGTCCTTTCCCCTCCATCATACTTAATATTCTTCACTTTGGTCTGAACAACCAGGAAATGAATGTACATCTCAGTCAGGGTCTTGGGCAACCTCTTTTCCTCGCTGCTTTTTAACAGGTTTTCCAGAACTGTAGCAGTGATCCAGCAGAAGACTGGGATCTGGCACATGATGTGGAGGCTTTCTGATGTCTTTATGTGGGAGATTATGATGTTGGCCTGCTTCTCATCTCTGAATTTCTTTCTGAAGTACTCTTCCTTCTGTGGGTTACTGAACCCTGTGACCTCTGTGAGAGCGTCTAAATATTTGGAGGGGATCTGACCCACTGATGCAGGTCTTGTGGTTATCCACAAGTGAGCAGAAGGAAGCAAATTCCCAGTGATTAAATTCATCAGCAGCACACCTACTGATGTGGACTTTGTAACATGAGTCAGCATCTCAGTGTTGTGGAAGTCCAGAGGAAATCGAGCCTCATCCAGACCATCAAAGATGAACACAACTTTGAAGTTTTCAAAGTTACAGATTCCTGCTTCTCTGATTTCACTAAAAAAGTGATGAACAAGTCCAACCAAGGTGAATCTTTTATTTTTCAGCAGATTCAGCTCTCTGAATGTGAATGGGAATATCAACTTTATGTCCTGGTTAGCTGTGCCCTCAGCCCAATCCAGAGTGAACTTATGTGTCAGGAATGTTTTCCCGATCCCAGCCACTCCCTTTGTCAGCACTGTTCTGATTGGTTTGTCTCTTGCGGTTGATGTTTTAAACATGTCTTCACATCTGATTGTTGTTTCACCTTTAATGACATTTCTTTCAGTGTGTCTGACCTCATCTTTATTATTGACCTCTCCACTCCCGCCTTCTGTGACGTAGAGCTCGGTGTAGATTTGATTCAGACTGGAGGAGTTTCGTACTTTAGAAATCCCCTCAAACACAGGCTGCAACTTCTTCTTTATGTCAGATTTAAGTTTATACCCAAAGTGTGGATGAGGGTTTTCTAATGGAAAGAAAAATAATGAAAATAATGTTTCAAAAGAAAATATAAGAATTTCTTGAGAATGCATTTATGAAAAGGAATCGTCTTACTGCTCATCAGAAAGACAGCAAGGTCCTTTTGATTCATTTTATTCAAGAAGTGCACTGTGAGTTTCAGAAATGCTTCCCTTCTGCTCCTTTGCTCCTCGTCCTCATTTTGACTTTCTGACAAGTCAGAGAATTCTGGATTCAGAGAATTCTTCATCCTTGTTAGCTCATTCTTCACGAAGACAACAATTTCATCCTCCAGCAGCTGAAACAGATCACAATATAAAATGTAAATGCAGAAGAGACCAAATCCGTATTGAACACAATTAGAGTCTGTTGATACAAAAGGTGCTACAGGGACATGATTGTGGAGAGTGGAGGTTGTTTTACAAACCGTAAATATAGAGTCCAGGTCACTGTGATTTTGGTGCCAAGGCTGGAAAATGGGAACATCTGAGGCTTGTTTGACTCTGTGAGAAGAACAATGTTTTTTACTATTATTCAGTACGCACAAAAAGATAAGAAACAGGAAAGTGAGGTGCTTTTTTTTCCTTCCTTTTTTGTTTTTTGATTAACATCTCAATACAAACACTACTATCTTGTAAAATTCTCAATGTGAACCTATTATGTCCATTTCTAAATCTTTTGTAAAGGAAAAAGGGTTTAATGGCACACATAGATGCTGCAGCTCTCTGCAGGTGCTTTGTTTACTGTGCCATGTATATGTATGAGTGTGGTTGTTTGCTTTCAACTACTGCTGTGTGTTGGGTGAGTTGACTTATACTCGTCAGAATCATCTGAGCTTGGGAATAGGCTTTGAAAGGACTGTAGACAGCTGTACTGGCATCATGGTAACAGTTGTATACCCACCATCTATACTAAAGTTATCATAGCCATGGGTAAGCTGCTTAGAGCAGTTAGTAGCCGGCATGACTTTTACCGTGATGTACTGCACATCATAGCTGAGTATTTCAACCAGGTTGTGCAATGATGTTGTTTTCACCCCTCACTGGACAAAGATAAAAGCAACATCCATAGAGGAAATACAGCACCTCTTTACCACATTTGGGTCGTTGTCTGTCAGATGATATGGCCAATGACAGTGTAAACATTGAGGGCAGTGAACCCCAGAAAGGCAGCCAGACCAGACCTAGCGACCAGGAGGTTCCTCAGGGAGTTCAGATCAGCTGTCCAAGGCCTTAACTGAGATCTTAAAGGCATTGCTGTCCCAGTCCTTCATCCCACTATGCCTGAAGTCAGCCACAATCCAGCTTCCCAAAAAGACTGCCATCAACTACTACCCAGCAGTCGCTCTGACACCTTTTACAATGATGTGTTTTCAGGTACCGATCCGACGCCTGCCTCCCAACGTCTGACCCACTTCAAACTCATACAGAGCCAACAGATCAACAGAAGATGCCAAGATTACAGCACTCCCCACTACCATCTCCCACTTGAAACAACATAGGTGTTACGCTTGGCTGCTCTTTAATGACATTAGCTCCATAACATCATATTCCTGGACAGAGTGACAGTAAAACTGCTGAATATTAGACTTCATTCACCTCCTGCTCGATCAGAGATTTTTTCTGTGTACAGAGAACCAGACTGGTGCCCATCTTTCCACAGCCCTTAATCTTAATACCAGCTCTTCACAAGGTCGTGTGTACGTCCTCTACTGCACACAGACAGTAATTTTGAATATCATGTTGTAAGAAGAATAGCTAATGAATGCAGAATTTAATGTGAGGTGTTGAGTGTGATACCTTTCCATGTTGGTCACAGGCTGCAATCACCTGATCAAAGAGAGAAAATTGTTTAGAAATGTATTTTCTTTATATATTTTCCCAGTTTCTGTCTTTGGTTTGTTACAAAGGCATGTAGGTTACATAATTTTATTATCATGCAAAAGTTAACAGAACTCTATCCTTAAACTACTCAGTCTTCTCTTTCTCAGTTTTGACTCTCCAAAGAGAACGATTTCAGTCTGTTTGTGCGGAAACTTCCAACAATAACCAAATAAAGAATCATCAAGAATAATAAGTCCACACATATGTAGAAATATATTTCTCTTTAGTAAAAGAAATTCAAAACTTACCAAATCTTCATCAGCGCTGTGCTTCAGCCTGCAGCTTCACTTTCTGCAGCATGTGAATGCTCTATATATGTTTTGCAGGTGCTGACACGCCTTCATGGTTCAGACTGGTTATACTAACAGAGCAGAGTCCAGATGTATTAAATTACAATCTAGTTCCTCATGACTTACTATTGGCACTGTGTTCTTTTAGTGCTTTAAAACTAAAAACAATGAGCTGAATCTCATGCCCCTCACTATGTATTGCATCACTGTTATTATCAGATCAAATGCTTGACCAACAACTTTAGAAAGTCTCAGGCACATTT